TATACAGGGTGTCCCACGGTGGATGGCGTATTAGACGTTTATGGAGAACTAAAAAGCGGATCATTTTGAAAATTTGGCAACCGGGATAAATGACCGTGATCTACACTTTAAAAATATTTTTGTTTATGCGGTGTTGCCGCTTCTACTCTAAACCAGTGGCAATATCGCTATTTTAAATGAAACACCCCGTATTTAATTGCATATTTGGATTCTACATAAAATTCTGAGCAGATTTCATGTGATATACCCTATACCTAAGTTCAACTGTTTTGGAAATATTGATAGTTGAAAATTGACTTTTTGCAACTTTGACAGGCTGTAAAACCTGAACGGTTAATTTTGGGGAAAAAAGGATTTTTCATTCCCGTCTTAGATTTTTATAAACTATCAGTTGACACTAATTTTGAATTTAATCCATGATTAAAAATTCCAATTAAATTTAATCTCCGGTTAAATTCAAAGTTGGTGTCAAATGATAGTTTACGAAAATCTAAGATAGGAATGTAAGATCGGTTTTCCTCTGAAATTAACTGTTTAGGTTTTACAGCCTGTCAAAGTTGTAAAAAGTCAATTTTCAACTGTCAATATTTCCAAAACAGTTGAACTTAGGTATAGGGTATATCACATAAAATCTGCTCAGAATTTTACGTAGAATCCAAATATGCAATCACATACAGGGTGTTTCATTAAAAATAGCGATGTTGCCACTGGTTTAGAGTAGAAGCGGCAACACCGCATAAACAAAAATCTTTTTAAACTGTAGATTATGGTCGTTTATCCAGGTTGCCAAATTTTCAAAATGATCCGCTTTTTAGTTCTCTATAAACGTCTAATACGCCATCCACCGTGGGACACCCATACCCTCGGGCGACTTACGAACCCTCGGGCCAGAGGCCCTCGGCTTTGTAAGACTGTCGCCCTCAGGGCATAATCATCTACTTAGTACCCTTGATACATAAATAACTATTACCATAACTGAGAGTACTCTAATAGGCATACTATAGAATGGTACACACAACAATATTATATAGTTCATAGTTGGGCTAAATTTTCAAAAAACTAGTTAGGTCACTTCGTGAGACCAGATTTGACCAATAGAAAAAAATTCGCAATTCGCGGTTATGAGTACTAGGCTTTAGACCTAGGTACTTGCTTGGAACCCGAGTGAAGTTAACTACGAAGCAGGGTGGCCACCTAAAAAAAATCGTAATTTATTGAAAAAGCTTAATTAGTAATGATTTTAAAACTAGAAATTCCTTAAAAAAGGCCTGAAAATAGTTATTTATGTATCAAGGGAATTATGAGGGTGTTAATACCCCAGGGCAAAGTTTGTGTCCCGAGTGGAAATTGCATATGGAAAGTCCAAAACTGTGGAAATATTACAGATGTAATGTACAGGGTCATAAAAAAATAGAAAATTGTTTTAGGTACTATTGTAGGAATAAAGTACCCCTAATTTAAAAGATATGCAAAATGAATTTAAAAAAAGTTGTTTAGAATTCAATTTTACGTCAAAATATAAAATCAGAGCCTCCTACACAAAAAATAATTTTCTGTATTTTTTCCTGTGTAAATGAATTTTCATTTTTTATTAAATAAATCACTGGGAAGTCTGAAGAATCCTTATGCGAATAAATAATGGCAACAACATACAGAGTTCAAAACAAAAGAGAATACCTACTAAGAAAATACAAAAAATATTTTTTTCCAAGTAAAATGAAGACAGGGTCTCCATCTATTTTCTGATCGGCACACTAAAAATTGCTACTAACAACCGTATAAACCAGTATTAAATTAGAGCAAATCGACTCGCAAAGGCATTCGCCACAATTGCGAGAATAGCTAATTGGGCCGTTACCTAATTAAATATTTTTTTGCTAAAATCGATGAAATTATCAAATTATGAAAATTACGAAAAATTAAGTAAATATGAAACTTATTTTTGATTTGACGCTCCATAAATGAGACGAAAGCAGTTCGAGATCAGTTTTCCTAGTGTTTTTCTAACTTTTATATTTATAACCGGTTTCATCCATCTTTTAAACCATGATAGAAACGACATATTAGAGCCAAATTCGGTTTCGATGTTGTTAAGTTTAAGGATGAAAAAGAAATATCAAGCAATTTGAAACGTATTGGCTTAAAGATGGGTCAAACAAATCGGTTCGGCAATGACTTTTATGCACCGTTTTAGAAAGAGGTTCGTAACTACGCCACTGTTTAAAATTTGTTTATGAAAATTTGACAACTTTGCAGGAACATACAAACCTACCCACCTGCCAAAAATAATCAAATCACATCGATAGTTATTAGCGATAAAAAACTGTGGAACTTTAATATGTCCCACATTGTAGGTAAAATACTAGGCAAATAGAAACGTCAATAAATCAACAAGTTGCAAAAAGTTGCACAAATTATTTTTTTTAATGAAAAGTCATAAGGTCAAAGAAAAAAACTAGATATCAACAAATATGTATCCATGTGTAGAACATTCAGTTATTTTTGGTTAAAATAACTAAATATGTATTTAGTTGCAAACATTTGCACCAATATGTAATAATTCAAAATATTCTCGCATCACCAAATGAATGACAGAAAACTAATGGCTTAAAAGAATCATTGACTTACCTGCTTGAAAGTTATTCATCACAAAATATTTTGTAATTCGCGAACAACAAGTTTTGACCAGTTATAAAATGCAACTTTTTGATTTTGATTGATTAATAACTGCTAACAATAACAAATACGTCAAACTTTTGTATGCGTTTACGAGTCTCCATGGCAACGCATCAATAAGATTCGATTGTTTTGGGATGATCCATAGCCTACTTAACCATAATAAAAAAAAATTGCGAAGATATTTGCAGTTTCATATGTTTGAATAATTCAATATTTCAAGGGGTTTCTGGCCCACTGTGCGGCGGTCTGATACTTATAGACGAGAATATGGAGAGTGATTTTAGAGACGCATCACGTAACGTCACGTTTTGGAAAGTTTCGTTACACGAGAGACGAGAGAAAAGGAAGATATAATGTAGACTGTAGAGAGAGGGTGAAAGCGAGCCATTGATAATGACAGACGAGGATTGCCTATTATTGTCAAGCGGTTATACCCTTGTGACGTCACTATAGATGCGCGTCTCCCTTTTGTGTGGCCCTTCGTCTTTACCCCGATTCATGTGCTAAGTCTAAAAGCTGTATGAGGGAGGGTATAGTTTTTAAAAAGTTTCACTTCTGAATACGTGTATAATGCTACACATGATTTTTTTGAAGTGAAACTTCTTAGGCGGCGGTTTGAATTGGATGAGAATTTGAAGCGATTTGAAAGACGCGTCACGTTACACGTAACGACACGTTTTGGTAAATTTCGACACATGACAGACGAGAGAGAAGAAAGATATAACGTGGAGAGACGGAGAAAGACAGCCAATGTAAATGACAGCCGACGAACGATTGACACAAACCAAGGATTATAAACAAAGAGGATTGCCTATTATTGTTAAGCGCCGATGCCCTTATGACGTCACTACGACTCATGGGCTATGTGTCTAAAAGTTGTATGAGAAATGGAATAGTTTTCAAGAAGTTTCACTTCTTAACATGTGTGCGATACTACATAATATGATTTTTTTAAATGCTTTATTAAAGTTGGGAAAATTAGGAATGTCACCCCCCCCCCCCCCCCCCAAAAATCAGAGACCTTCGCTACGTCCCTGTGCCTACTCAATCAGAAGAAACTGTAATTTTTTTACAGAAACCTATTCCCGCAGAACAAATGCGAGACATAGAACAAGAAAATGTTAGTGAGACAAAAAACCAGTCTAAATCTATTCACTGTGAGCCACAACTACACCTTTTCCATAAGTATTTCAGAATGTATCACTCACTATCAGATTCATCAATTCTAGTTCAGAATGCGTCAATTATATTCCAGTTGTGTACGTTCAATTTCAGAAAGTGTTATTTGTAAAGTGTTATTTGTATTTCAACTTTGTCAGTTGTAGTTCAGAAAACGTTATTTTTGTTTCAGTTTGGTCACTTGTATTTCAGAAAATGTCATTTGTGTTTCAGATTATTTATTTGTAGTTCAGAAATTGTAAATTGTATTTCAGAATTCGTCAAATGTATTTCAGATGTTATCAATTCAGTATAAATTAAATGAAATTTATAATGATGGTTCACCTATACACCTCGCTTGTGTTGATTTGAGAAAATCTGTTCTTATATCATTATTATCTGAAATACAACTGATGATTTCTGAAATACATCTGATAAATTCTAAAATATAATTCACGTTTTCTGGAATACAATCAAAGAATCTAAAATACAATTATGCTTTCCGAAATAAAATTAACTAACCTGAAATACATTTGACGCTTTCTGAAATAAAATATACTAATCTGAAATACTATTGACTCTTTTCGAAATAAAATTAAATAATCTGAAATACAATTGACGTTTTCCGAAAAGTCATTCATGCATGCTAAATTGCAATTGACGCTTTCTGAAATTAAACTGACGCTCTCTGAAATACATATGGAAAAGGTGAGGAAGAAAACCAGATCCGTCGTGGATCAAGAACTACAAACTCCCAAATATCTTGACGATTATGTTGAAAAATAAACCTGGGGAGAATGTGGTACTTTTTATAACTTCTGTGTATAGTTTTTGTTACCAGTATTAATTATTATCATATTGTACCTGTCATTATCATTAGTTTCAATTAGTTTTCATCATTGTGAATGTGGTGTATAATTTTTGTTTATTAAAGCCTAATTTCTAAAGCTAATTCAGTAAATCATTACAAAGAGTAACGAGTAACCCCAGTGTCAGCTTCATGAATAAAAAAACTATTAGAGTAGGGAATAATTTGCGGAGTTTGGAGTGGCTTCAAGGAATTTTATATAGGTATCCTTTTTAAATCCTTATTGTTTCACCAAGATGCTCGATTTCTGATACGTTTACTAAATTTTTAAACGAGTTGATTCTAAAAAAATTACCTAAAATCGCGCCTATTACAAAAATCCCATGCCGAAGGAGTGCAAAGAACCACCCTGTCGCCAGGTTCTTCGAAAATAGAGCCTTGCCAAAAGTCCAAAGGCATTGCAGTTAAATTAAGCGACACAAAAAAGTCTTCTGCTAATCTAAACATATCGATTGGCGTATATCCCTGAAATATAAGTAATTAAAAATAAAAGCAAAAAAAAATTCAAATATAACTTACTTGCTTCAACATCTCGGGTGTAACATCCAAAAAATGTTGACCAGGATAAGGCTGGGTAATATCGAAAATGTTACTCCAGCTTTGACCCCACATATTTCCTAAAATATGGCTTGGCAATGGCGCTTGTCTATTAATTCTTTCAGGACCATAATATTCCCTCAACCTTCTTCTAGCGTACGCATGTAGAAGCTCGTATAAAGGCTTGACCTCGTTCCATGCATCTTCCAAATCGATTTCCAGAGCTGGAGATTCGAAAGGAAATGACCAGTAATCAGCAGTATTGGTGAAATCTTTTTAAAAAGAAATGGTAAATAAACAAATTGTTGTATTGTGGGCATTATTCTTACTATTCAATTTAGCAGCAGTATTTGATACTTGGGCCATTTGCTCGTAGAGATCCTTCATTTTTTGGCCAGTTTGCCGTCTCCATTCAGTCCATACATGTTGAAGTTCATCCCAGTTTCGACTTTTAGCCATTATTTTGTTGAGATCAGGTTGTAGACGAAGTCCGCAGTGGAAATGGTCGTTGAAACTACATATCGTGGCAGTATTGTAGATTGCTAGCATGTCGTTAATTAATCGGTTGTACTAGGTATATTAAAAAAAAAAAAACAGTAAGTTTCCATTTTACATAATACCTATTTTTTTATTTGCAGATTTTTTTCTCAGAAATGATACACTGTAAAACGTAGCCTTGCACTTGCTTTAAAAAATTTATATGTTTGTATAATTTGCATTAAATTATTGTTATTCCCGTACAAACCATAAATAAACCTTGCTGTCGCATGGCATCAACTACAAACTTATAAACAAAAACAATAATAATAATATAAATTGGATATTATAAATAAAAACTATGTGCAATATCAAGATGCACAATCTTATATAATTATGTAAATCGCTTGAAAGAATGCAAAAAGGGAAGGTGTCTTACTAAATCATTCTCACAAGTCACAAATACGATAATTAAAGTGTATTCTGTTGAGATAAATAATAATCTAGGAAGAGAATAAGGTGCAGACTCCTGCTGAAGTGAATCATTTGATTAATCACTTTAATTAATCAATTTTTTATTGCGCGTACACTTGCGTCTTTTATTAAATTGTTCTAAGAAAAATATAAAATGACTTACTCGATCCAATTGGTCAGGTGACAATGCTGCTGGACCAATAACCGAATAGTATCTGATCTGTCTATAGGTCTGAGCCTCTGGAATGTTGTTGATATTTTGAGCGTGATTGAGCAAGTCCCAAATGCCATGTTGGAATTCTGAATAGGTTTGTTGAGCCTGAAGCTGAAAAAGGCATCAGAATGTTTAAATTATATGAATACAGTTTGTTCCAATAGCATTAACCTTAAGAGGCCTAATATAATAATTTTTAAAACAATCTGTGCATATTAAAATATTTTATAATTTATTGAATCGATAGCCTCTGATTCGAAATGGTATGCACTTTATGATTGTCCAATTAGAGTAACTATATGTCATTACGGATGGAGGTTAATTGTTTAAAATGCTACATTAATAAGTATCTATAGGCAACATATCAGGGATGCATCTTTATTATGTATATTATTATACATGCGTAGATACTTTAATAATAATTATTGTAGGTTCACATTTCCAAGGTTTCTTTATGATTTACTTTTATGCACTTGGGTGTTATCTAATAAAACATTCTGACTGTATAAAATGGTGTTTTTTCTCTAACATTTGAAATTAAACTATTTTCTTGCATAACTGAAAACTTTACTATGTTGAAAATAATGTCAAGTTTAAACACATCACATAAATAATCACACATGAAATAGTTCTCACATGGTCAAGGTACCGAAAGTACAAGGCACTGCATTTATAAGCACAATATAATCATAAACTTGACTTTTTTGTAGCAATCCTTTGAAAATCCGGCTATTGTTTTCAGAAAATTTTCGCTAATTGTGAAAAATTAGTTTTTAAACAAAACATTATATTCAATTAAATTTCGATGGTGGAATTAGATATCTACATTGTCGTGTTTTTAATGACATAGTAAGAGGGATTATTGTCTGATTCGTTAAAGCATATATACTGGGTGAGCTACCAGTAGAACCGCCAATAGTAAAATCAATATGGCTATTTCTAATATTGTCTCATCAACACATGTATCGTTTCTATCAACATTTGGTGTAAAATTAAGTTGATGCCAAGTACAGTCTACATTTTTTTTCCGGGAAAAAAGTAAATGTGTAGGTATAGATTTACTGATTTCGTCCAAAATTCTTTCAGCATGAACTTAATCATCATCAGACAGCGACAGGGGCGGATGGGCCAACAGGGATTTTGGGAAGTTTCCCGAAGGGCCGCTTGCTTCCGGGCCGGTTGTACCGGCCCGTAAGCATACAGGGTGTTTCACGGACGTCGAAACAGAAACGTTTTAAGGTATTTTAAGGTTGATTTAAAAGAAAACGCTCGGACTCGTCATTTTTGTATTCAAGGGGGGAACTTTTGGACCCCATCGGTATTTCCCTAAAGTCCACCCCCTCGGTGGGGTGACTTTCGCCCCACTTTTTTAACGAAGATGGGGCGAGTGGTACCTTGTTTTAGAGGTATTTTGATTCTCGTCACAACTGCGTGTTTACACATTGACTGCCAAGGCCAAATCCTGAATTATTCGCTGGGGGCCAAAGTTGTATTTTCGTATTTTTTGGCTTTACTTTTATTTTACAGTAAGAATTTCATACATCTGTCAAAACTGGTATTCCAACAATAAATTGACATGTTTTTATTGTTGATTTGAACCAATCAGATTGTAATTACGCGATAATCTGCACTAGTGCAAATTATCAGATAATTGCATACTAACTGGTGCGAAAACTGGTGTTTTGACATTTTTTGACAAAAAATTAAAATTTTTAATTTATGAAATTCTCTCATTAAATACAACTCGTGCAATGGAAATATATTTATAATTTTCGACAAATTTGCACTCATGCGTTTTTAACTGAAAAAGGCACTCGTGCACTACGTGCACTCGTGCTCTTTTTCAACTAAAAATGCATTCGGGCAAATTTCCCAAAAATTATCAATAATTTCCATTGCACTAGCTATATTACTATTGAAAATTTACTTATAATTTTGTTTGGTTTTTATTTTTTTGGCTTTTTTGCATTTTTTGTTGTGTCATTCATATATGAATGACGCGGCCCCCTGGAAAACTTTGACGAAATTTTATCGCACCGGCCACGTCATTCATATTTGAATGACACAACAAAAAATGCAAAAAGGCCAAAAACATAAAAATCAAACGAAATTATAAGTAAATTTTCACTGTAAAATAAAAGAAAAGCCAAAAAATACGAAAATACAACTTTGGCCCCCAGCGAATAATTCAGGACTTGGCCTGTTCCTTTTCTAAATTATAAGTTCATATTTCATCATCAGGGTGTTCCTAAATATCATGTACAAACAGTAGGGGGTGATTCTTTGGTTTATTTTATGACTAAAATTTCTAATAAACATAGGTCCGCAAACGCTTCCTTATCGATCTACAGGGTGTTGAAATGTTAATGTATTCATATTGGAAATGAGCAAGAATATGGCGGCGAGGAGTGTCTTTACTTCTAGATTCCTATTGAAAATGAGCAAAAACATGGCTGCGGGACCTCTATTGTCGCCACTGTAGTTGGAGAAGGTTTATTCAGTCACTTTAGTTTCATCTAGCTAATTACAGAGATTTGTTTTTTAATTTTTTTCTCGATAAGGGTCGGTGATACAAAAAAACTACAAGAGAACAAAAAGTTTCTAAATAAGGTAGAAAAATTATTTTAATTCTTAGAATCGACCAGCGGCGCACCGCGAAAAAGTTCAGTGGCAGAAAAGGGGGCATGACCCCTGAAAAAACATCACCCTGTAGATTCTGGCAAACGCTTGATATATGCAATCATTCAGCTTCTATTGGGTAACCTTTATTCCAAATTTGAGCTAAATCCCTCAAAAATTGCAGGAGCTATAAAGAAAAAACTAAAAAAATATTAAAATTTCAACATCCTGTAGATCAGTAACGAAGCGTTTGCGGACCTATGTTTATTATAAATTTTAGTCATAAAATAAACCAAAGAATCACCCCCTTTCGTTTGTACATGATATTTAGAAACACCCTATCAGAAAGAATTAGTTTTTTTTTTGTTTGACAGTTTTTTACCTATTTTAAGTGAATTTTTGGTTTTATTGGTCTTGGAGAATAACCCAACAAAATTTGCTCTGGCCAAGTTTACCTTGAGAATCCCCAGGGGCCACGCAAATATTTCTCCATTTAAAATACACAGGCTGTCGTACACGAGTGCATGACATGGCCTAGAAGTGGAACTGAACCGTCATTCAAATATGAAAGACGCGGCCGGAACGGAAGTGGCCGTGTCATTCATATATGTATGAAGTGGCAGTCAATGTGTTAAGAATAAGGTACCAGCACCCACGACAACGACTGCAGGTGTAACTACTGGAACCGAAGACAAGGACATAAAAGCTAAAGCTAAGTTGATATTGTCAATTGATTCCTCAATTTTTGTGCACAGTCGGATCGTGATGCCAAAACGACTAAAGAGCTTTGGGAACGGTTGAAAAATCTTTACGATGACTCGGGCTTTACGCGGAGGAGCAGTCTTTTGCGTACTTTGACTTCTGCAAGGTTGGATAATTGTGATTCAATGGAAGCATATCTTAATGCTTGTTAATATAAATTATGCAGGAGCTTGTGACCTCACAACCGCCGAAATCGCAGTCTTCTGTTAGTTCAGTCGTCAGTGAACCGTACCCTATACTTTGGGTTGTCGCAATTCGCTCTAGTGCGATAATTGTCTTTTGTTTTGGAAAATTCTTACTTCTGATAATCCGGTGTGACGTCACAAACACCTAGTCTAGTTGTAACTTTAAACCGCCCTAACTCGAAAACGGACCATCGTAGCAAGATGCGGTTCAAATATTTATTCTTACATTTTTTTGCACTAAAACTTGCATTTTTGGGTCACACCCCCTTCAAATTTTCTTCAAATTTCTCAGACTGAACTAAATTCAAGAGCCTGGATTAAGAAAAAAAATATGTCTAACCACTTGTGAAGTCATTTGTTCTCAAGTTTCTTCTCTTCATGGCTTAAATTTTCTTTCTCATTTTTTCTCTATTCCGGGATCTTGAGTTTTCTCCAGATTTCTCAGACTGAACTAAATTCAAGATCCTGAATATGAAAAATATGTCTATACCCACTTGTCTAGTCATTTGTTCTCAAGTTCTCTTTTTCCATGGCTTAAGTTTTCTTTCTCGAATCGATTTTTCTTCCTTGTGCACATTCTTTTATTTACAAATGAAACGAGCTTTGTAGTGAGAAATGGCATCTTCATTTTTCTTAGTTTTAAAAACCCACCTACAATTAATTGCTCTCTTCCCGGATGCGTATTTACGTTCTATAACATTATACAGATGGATTCCATTCTTTAACGTAGTGTGATTTGTATCTGTGAAACGCACGTATGTTTACTCCAAATCATACCGCGATACAGATGGACGTCAATCTATAACATAGTAGGATATGAAGTTACAATACGCGCCTATTCCTACTCCAAATCATACCACTATACCACGATAACAAATTAATAACTACTCAATCAATTGAAGTAATTTATCTTTATTTTCTATAGGCTTTTTACAAGCTATAACAAGGTAACATCACAGCTTGTAAGATTAGAATGTTTCAGAAAATAAAACTTTAAACTTTATAGGTAATATAGAAGAATTTTGGTTACTCTGATTTAATCCAGTATTCGCTTCCAGATTTCTCAAACACCGCCTTCGAATTTTAATGGCCTACCAGCCTGAATTCCTGCGGAATTTCGGCATCACATCTTTTGTTGGTTATTCGAGTGGGACAATTTTTAAAGTCTGTTACTGTGATGATACTTAAACACATTCCTGTAGGTATTCAAACTTTTTCAGTGATGGGTATGTATATCGGACAATCCAGTTTGTTGTTGTGCCAACGCAAAAAATGCGAATCCAATCGTCACACCATTCACTATTTGTCTTATCTTTATGATGATCCTTGCTTCTTTAAATAACACTGTAGTCATTGCAACTGTCGTAATTATAACTTTCAATTACATCCTCTTTGTGGATAATATCCTTTAAGCCATATTCATATTTAGTTCTATCTGGAATTGCGATTTCAACGAAGCGAACTAAAATGCACATAGGTGGCTTAACAACTGCCGCCAATTAGAGGTAGCGATGTTATCGATAGTATCGATATTTCTTAGAAATA